TTCCCTACAGAAAGTCAATAACAACAATATATTACTACAAACATCCCATTACTTTACTATCGGATGGTTTATCTCATAGTGCTTTCTTGACAAACAGACTGCGTTATTCCAAAACCTACAGTGTAGCATTAGTCATTTCTGTCTGCTTTCAGTGTTTTCATTGCTTCATTTATTTTATTTTATTGAATTCTTTTAGGTATTCTGTCCTACTAAATCTTGAAAAAACCCATCCAATACAAAAGCAGGACAGATGTCTAATGGCATCTGCTTAAATAGTGAAAAAAGTTCTTTCTCTCTTTCTTGTTGGGATGTTTCAAATACCATTCCAGAACGTTAATAGTTTCAGGACAAATAGTATATAATTGGAATCTTAGATATTGCTAAAAATTAAAACTGAAAAAAAATTAATTAAAAGTATGTGTAAAAGAAATGGGGTTTAGCTCAACTTTTATCTCAGTTTTCAGAGACATAAACCCAAGCTGAAGCCAGCAAAGGCATCATGGTTTGACACCACACTTTGAAGTGGAAGTGATTAAAACCACATAGGTTTTTTTCCCCCTTCTTATTCTAAACTACTCCTGCCTTGTCATCTCCTCCCTATTCCATGTGTTGAGCACACAAGGCAGAGCATGTCATGCTCAGGTAAAACTTGCAAAACTTCATTGTCTTTGCCTGCACTTGGTCACGCAGGCAGGGGAGTCTTTTTTTGTTCCATTGGGTGAGCAGGCTTGGTTTGTCATGGGCAGGGCAAAGAAGCAATGACTGCTGTGTTCACTGAACAAACAGGATGGGCTTCGCTTTCTACTTACTGGACAGAACAGCTGACAGGGCAGCTGGTAATCCAGGGTACTCCATGGGAAAGACTGAAGTAACTCTCCTTCCGAGAAGGGGTAGGAGAAGAATAATAGTAGCTTTTAATCACAGTGAGAGCTTTTCCGTTGTCTATGCTAGAGTCCATGGAGCTATGCATCACCCCTCATGTACAGCAGATAGAATGTTGTAGAGGTGACAATCTTATGTACAGACAGGAAGAATTGTATCTAGGAAGGTCAGGGCTTGGCTCACATAAACAAATTATGAGTAGATTTAGTAGCATCTTACCCAGATCGTTGTTTTTAGTGATAGCTGCTGCTACTCTGGTTCTTGGACCTTGCTTTGTGAACTGGTATCCAAACTTGAGAATCCTGGAGTTCTCCTCCAGCATCTTGGCAATCTCCATCTCTACAGCTGTCCCCAGCTGCTGCCTCTGTTGGTGATGTGGTGAAACGTCCCCAGAAGAAAAGAAAATACTTGTTTTCACATGAGAGAGAAATAAGTTGTTATATTTCAGTACTGTGCTGCAAACTACAAAGAGAATCCCATCCCCAGAGATTTTTCTCTGGGTTTTATATTTGGCTTTGACCAGTTTTATTTAGAAGTTTTCCACTGTCTGGCTGCATAGACATGGGACATGAGCTGCAGAATGACTGAGTCACAGAGGCTGCCTTCACCTTGCTAGAGCCCTCTAAGACAACCCTCTTGGAATCCATATAGAAGGGAAACAAAAGTGGATTCACTCAATGTTCTCTCTTTACCTGGTTGTCAATTTTAATCTCTGTCAGGGATTCATTCTCTTTCAGTGCATCAATCAGTGCCAAAATGCCCGTCCCGGTGATGAAGTTGGATTCTACATTCAGACTCTTCAGTGTTTTGTTCACTTTCAACATATCTGCAAATGCCTGAGGGGTCAAAAAAAGAGAGTATGAAATAATGTCTTGAGAGTTTCAGGAAATAACAAGGAATTTGCAAAACATAGTACCTACAAAGAAATAAAACATAAATAGTCTTAGAAGAATGTAGAGGTAGATCAGAAGAGATTACGCTTCTACTTTGCATAGTCACAGAGAAATTCTGTGAGGGGAAAATGAAGAATACATCCTAAAGCAGGGTTTTTTTTTTCCAAGCAGTGTTTAACTTACAATAGCTACAGGGTCATTGCTTCGAGTAGCTGCAAGGCTGAATGTCTTCACATGCGTGTTGCTTTCCAAAGCTTTTGCAAATTCCTTCAGTGTTGGAATAGGAATATTCTACATTAAGAAGACAAATCCAGTAATTAGGAAAGCCAGTGACATCGCTAGACACTGATATTAATTACTATCAAACTGATTGATAGCCACAGTCCATGCAGTTTAAACATCCCTGATACTTTGAAGGGTAACTTAGAACAGACAAAGTGTCCTCTGTTCATAGAGGACTTCAGAGACCCGTGGGACGCCTGCGCCAGGATGCGATGTCAGTGCTGCCTTTAACTGGGTCAGGCCAACACAAGCATGTGACTGATCTCTGTTGCTGTTGGTTGTTTAGTCTCCTCATGCCAGCTCCTCCTCCATTTGCATGGGTGGGCTAATTGAATTTGGCTGGTGATGATTACATAGTGCCCATGAGAGATCTTGCTTTACAGTCTACTAAAGAAAGGCATCCAGAGTCACCCCTTGGGCTTTTAATTGGCATCTAATTCAGTATCAGGCATTGGCGACCTTGAAACCTCTACAACAGTTCCCTCCATACCCCTTTCCTGTGTGTCCTGCTTTTTCTGAAGAGTAAAGAGAGACAAAATTTGAAGATAAAAGGCAAGGGCTTTGTAAATGTCTGAATAAACTCTCCTATGAATGACATATATGAAACCACAGCACCTACCTTTATGTTGTTGAGATTAATTTCTATGAGACTAGGATCATTTGCTTTTATCCTTTGTAAACTTGCTTCCACGTTGGTTGGATTAGGTGGCTCCTCAAAGATGGGCTTGACCTTTTCACCTTTCACCACATCTGCAACACAAGATCTCATGAAATGTTGATGTGAGGATCAGGCATTGTCAGTGACAGTCTGACTTTCCAATTCCTATTTAGGTTTGTAATGTGGCATTCAAGAAACGGTTTATATGAACAAAAAAACTTGGAAACAGGAGTATTAGCCCTGTTATCCCTGCCATGCCCTTTGCACCTTCTGTGCACCCAGAAGCACGTCACTGGAGGCTGTGGTTACAGAGGCTGGGCAGTACTGTCATGGGCAAATTCCTCCTTTATGTACAAAAGTCACAGTACAATAAAATTGAGCCAAAGCATCTTAAATATGGGATGATATACACTGCAATACACTGCTGCTTTGTTCTTCGTAAAGGAAGGCGTGCTCAGAACTTGCCCATTACATTAGTGAGAAAATGTCCCTATACCTATGAATAGGCTGTACCAACAGAAAGAAACATGAGGAGGAGGCCCCTCACTTTCCTTCTCTTGGCTGATGCTATCGGTCTTGCATTTCAGTTCCATTAACTCTTGTAAAATTGCAACATCTGCACTTTCTAAATAATAAAACTATCAAGGCATGAAAAGCAAGTCTGTCTGCCAGCACCATGATTTATGAAGTCTTTGAGCATTCATGCTCCAAGGAGATAGAGATTTTAATGCTGGAAGCTATGGGCTATAAATATTCTTAGAGATTCATACAAATCATAGGTTAGAACACAATTAGTACTTCTAATTCCCATGCATGTAGTTTCAGAGATTAATTTATAATCCCACCAAGAAATACATTACTGACCACAAGTATGTTTAAACCCTTTTATGTTGCAGACAGTGAGTGATTTTGAAGATGTGCTCAAGTCTCAATGTAACTTCATGTTGCTGTTCAGCGCAATGGGTAAAGTTCATGCCATGTCACAGGCCAAAAGAAAACCAAATATTTTTTTAGAACTCATATGCTTACTAGAGATGAAGTCATACACAAACCTTGAGCTGGTTTTCACTCTGCTCCCTTGAGCCCTGAACTAAGTCCCTGAGAGACCTCACGTATCCCTAAATAACACTCCAGCCTTCCTAGGGAGTAGGTACGATGAATATAGTGGATTCACCTTGGATGCAAAGGTGGAAAGTAAACAAAAAACAGCAAAGCATGTTTTGCACTAGGAGTAACATCATGCCAAGCTGGGAGCTGGAGAGAGAGTTGCACCCTGTCCTCAGGTTAGGCATCACAGTCTACTCAGTCTGGAGTCAGCAGCATCTTTCATTTTCTATGTCTTGTTGCTTCTCATGAGTTATATCTTGTTTCTTTAATCATGGTGCTATTTTGCCACATTGATGGGCAGCTTTTGAGATGTCTCCCTCTTTTACTGAAGCATTTTACTTGGCTAAGGAAAGGTCTTGCTTTTGGACCAAAGAATACAGTGATGTGATTGTGATTTTCTGGTTCTTAGCTGTGTGATTGGAGCACAGTTCAGCTGATTCACATAGCTGACATTTTGACTCAGTACAACAAAAATGTTCTGAAATCTGTGTAATGCTTGTAGTTGCCTATTATGAGATAGATGGCAGCTCGCACAGGCCCTGTTAGGCAGGCTTGCAGAGCAGTCTTAATCCTGAGAAAAATGAAGTGACATGGTGTCCTGTCTACTTTCTCACCTCCCCTTTAGTAATGAAGCATGGAAATAAAAGTCCTTGTTAAAGATAGCTGCTGTTCTCATGGCCTTAGAAGAAGGAAACACTTCTTGAGTAGTTTCCCTAGAAAAGGGAATTCCACAATTTTGTCTTAAAAAGCAAAGCTTAGCTCTCTTGATATCCCGGAGCTTGGAGGTGATGAGCTCCTGATCAAGACTTGGCAGTGCTCAAGAAAAACTTGCAATTCCCATTTCTCTCCCTATCCAGCCTCCTGTTGGTTGCTGAGCTAAGATCTGATTCAGCAAAGGTCTGTTTATCGTGCAAGCATTTCCAGATTTGTTTAGTAACTACAGCTGTTTCTGTAGGGGGGATTTCCTGAACAGTAATGCTTCCCATGTACGTAACAGGCAAAAAACCCACAGGCTTAAACACACTGCCACAGGGCAAAGGTGGGAGGTAGTAGATCAGAGAAAGTAGCCAGGGCAGGAGCACATCTATGTGGTTGTTGGTTCCTTGTGAATGCAGCTTGATGTGACTCTAGTCACGAATGTGACTCTGTGGCAGGGATTCTGACACACTTGAGCCCCATGATTACAAGTCATTCTTCAGTTGAGCAAATGTGCTTGGGGTGAGATGGCCTGGCCTGTGCTGTGGCCACCTATTAGCTACAGCTCACTGTGTTTTCTGTCTGCTATCTAAACTGAAGTGGAATGAGAACATGTATGTCTTAGCTTCTTAAACACTCCCATCCTTTCAAGCACCTCTGCAGAGCCAGATGTTGCTCTCTAAGTAAACAAAGCTCTTTAGGAATGATTTATTTGCATAGTACTGTTGTCATTATAGATAATTAATTTTAAGATTGTATTTACTTTAAAGAGCTACCCCTCATGAATAATTAGATCAATCAAGCTAACGCCCAGTTACATTACACTAAATTAGACCAATACACCCAACCTCTAGATGTAGAAGCCTCTAAACATGAAATACGGCCCACAAGAGAAATCAGCTTGCTTACTTCTCACAGTTCCTTTTCCATCTTTACTGCGGGCTCCTCCTTCATCAAATTTTGGGTTGTTGACCATGTTGTGCACTCCAAGAACAGCTAAAATGTGTAAATACCAGCAACACGATACAATGTTAATGGCAGGAACAAAGACTGCAGAAAAATATCTGCTACAAATGCTAGTTTAGGTGCTGAAACAAAACCCCTTTATAAAATATTCACTCTGAGTCATGCTCACTTGTAGGGATGGTCTTTAGAGGTCTAAGTACTGGACATACAGACATTTTTAACATAGATTCTTGAGCAATTGAATCAATGCAGTATGCATATCGCAGAAATGCCAGCTGGAAAGAACCACTGTGGGTCATCTTGTCCAGTGCAGGAATGTTGCCAACATTAATGAGGTCAGCCATGGCTTTGTCTAGCTGGATCCTGAAAACACCCAGGGAGGGAAATCCACAAACTCTTTGGGTTACTTGTTTCAGTGCTATACTCCGAATCGTTCCTGTTTTCCTAATATACAACCTGAACCTCTTACTGCTTTCTGTCGTTTGTTTGGCACATCCAGGAAGAATTTGTACATGCTTGAACTTCTATAGTGTCAGAAAATAAATTGTGCTGTGTTTGCTGATACTTCTCCCAAAAATCATCTAATTGGATGTTATTCTATAGGATCATGTATTAATTAAAAGTTAATAACCCTGTGTAGGTTTTTACTTTTGTCATCAGTTTATTCTTATGGAAAAGTGAAACAGCAGGTGCTTGAGAGCTGATCATGAGACACTCCTGGTGGCAGGTTAGGCAGAGAAGAAGTGGACGTGTAGGGGCATCATACCTATACATTTTCTAACCTGCAAGGTCATAGAGCTCAGTATCTGAAGCACTGGCCAGGGCTTCTTCTAGTTCCGGATCCAGCGTCACTTTCTCTTCTGTGCGGGTTTCTATGGGCTTTTCTTTAGGGATAAATATTTTTCCTAAGAGAAGAAAAAAGCCAAAATGAGTAATGAACTATTGGAACAACTCCTCTGCCTCCTGGCAGTGGTGAGAATAGGTCTGTGACAGCGCAAATACCTGTTTTCCTCTTTCTTACATGATGCTTGTCTTCCACAATAGAGTCTTACTAAGAGTCTAAAAATAAAAGGTGCAAGCCTCTGCTCTATACTGGTGATTATTAATGTGGAAGCAAATTCCCTAAGATAAATCCCCAGGAGCAGTCACAGCTGGGACTTTTCTGAAGTTCCTTTGGCCTTCAACAGGCAGAATCAGGTCTACACAAAAAGCTTGCACAAATTTCATCCTTACAGTTAAATGAGGCACTAAAAGCAGTTAAAACCATCCTACTGCGAGAATCTTTCAGTTTACCAAATTCCACGCAACAACCTGAAAGCTCAGTAAACCTGTTCTCTTCCAGTAATGGAATTTAATTCCCACCCTCTCCATGAGTATTTCCCCTCTGCATCTCTCAGTGATCATTCACATAAATAGCCTTATCCTGAAAAGCGCAGGCCTGAAAAGTCTGAACTGAGTTGAACCAAATGTTCCCCAAGAAAACTCCTGACCTCTTTGTCCCTCTGTGTATACTGCTGTTACATTGGGGTCAGCAGGTGTGTGTTTCCATGCAGTATTCCCCCAAGACTGAGATCATGGTTCCTTCTGCTGAAATGAGAACATTGTAGGATAAATCCAGAAACAACAAAAAAGGTTCCACTTTAGCCTGCTATTGTAGTTAACCCCAGCAGCGTGATGATGTAACTGCAAACACTTGGAGCAAGGCCCTTTACATCAGAGCTAGGGCTGCGCTTCAGTCACCAGCGCTGCTGGGGCTTTTCTCCCACTCAGCACTTTCCTGTACCAAACCCATATTAGTAATACAGTAGATGATGCCACATGCAACAGATGGTGTCATTGTTCTGACAGTTCTGTGAATTCCCATGTTCTACTCTCTCCTGTGGAGCAGTTCTCCTCACCTTGTCCCTAACAACTCCTCAAGCAGGCTTTAGTTAATCCCATTGTAATGAAGCTGGGATGACCTTTGGATGCAGGTGGCTTTGGCCCACTGACAACTGTAAATTGTCTTCTTGTGCAGCTTTGTACACTCTAAATGTAATGCTTGAAGCATATCCTGTGGCTTTCTGAAATCTCTCTAAAACAGTTTAATTTTGACTGTATTAGTGATGTCATTTTGTTGCCGTTAATAAACGTAGTTCTGATATTTAGTGTTGAATTACAGATGCTTTGCCTCTGGTTTTTCAACACTGTCATCCTTTTGTGGCTAAATTTTTCCCCACCATGGTCCAAAGTATCAGTTTCATGTAGGTAATACCCAATTCATTTATCTCATTATCTACAGCAATTTTTAGGTTGTCAGCTTCCATAACTGAGGTCATTGAATAAGCTTCCAAAAATAAATTAATGGAAATTTCTGGAATTCTGGCAAGATTTGAATTATTCACCTTAGAAATATTTGTACTAGTGGTAAATAATTTCTGAGTACAAAACTGGACAGAAGGTTATGCAGAACGACAGAAGTATCATATTATGATTCATTGTTCAGGAGATATTTTAAGTAAGTCATTTTTAAAAGGCTTCTAGAAGATAAAAGCCTTTGTGGACCAAAGGTAAGAATCATTTTAACTTTCTCCATGCAGTAGGTGATACGTATCAGAGGCAGTTATCCCAGCAGCATGAAACAAAAGTCAAGTGGAAATCTGGGGTGAGAAATACTTTTGAAGATAGATCAGTCATGTCCTCCGGATTTCATAACAGCACAGGCGCTAAGATTTCAGACTCTCTCTGTACTACCACCTAACCTGGAGTGTTGGATGGCAGTCCCAGACACCACTGACCAAGGCTTAACTTGATGCCAGCTTGACTGGTAAGGACAACACGTAAGGAAAAGAAGTCATTACTATGTTGGAAACCAGAAGACCAAAAAGAATCAGAATATCCGAGTAAGCAACCAATAGTGAGCAGCGCTGTCCATACAATATTTTCCTTTCTCATCACTGGTGGTTCCACATGAGTTTCAAGTAACCAGTAGGTTGTCTGAGATCTTGAGGGAATCCTACTTATCTTTATCCTGACTGATAATACTATCCCCTGACAGCTATACTCCACAGAGCCATAGCTTGCACAAAACCTCTCCGTCAGGCAGTAAGTGATTCTTCACAGACCCAAACCCCAGCCACGCTGTTAACAAACGCTGACAGAAATCTATACTTTCATACATAAGGGGACACAAGACCTTGAGTCTGGTGTAAACTGGTCACAATATGTAACAAATTTGGTCCTTCTCTATGGACACTGGACACGGGTAGAGCAAGTGTCTTGTGCAGCAAGAAATCCGGGGTAATGGAAACTAGTACAGGCTCATACTTTTTCTGTGCAGTTCACTTACATAGGAATACAATTTTTAAGCACTTGTTTCAGGCATATGTAGTTCCTGGACGGCAGCCCAAATCTGTTCAAGTGTGTATACGACCCCGATGATAGTTTCATTTAAAGCATTCTTGGCAAACGTTTTAGAAAAAAATTCTATTATTGGCTATCTGAACTATTTAAAGGGGAAAGGCCATGTCAAAGCTGGTAATATATATCTTCAATATATAGGGGCCTTGCTGGCATCCAGTGGCGTTTTTAAAATATTCTTTTTTCTGCTATCTACATAAGAACATTCTTTTGCATTATCCCACTGTGAAGAGATGCTGTAGCACAGCAGATAAAGGTTAGAAGAGTTTATGCATTTAGCATGTCATTAGTCCACCACCAGCAGAAGTGTATGTCTGTGTTTATAGACAGCTTCCAACCAGTTTTCCTTCATTATTTAAGGCCAGAATTTAAAGATTCAGGCAGTGCCTTCTAGTCCCACATCCATACATTGTAAATTTATTATAGAGTGCCATCATGGAATTCACTGCCAAAATAAAACATGGATTGTGGCTTGCTTGTTTCAGTGGTCCATCTTAAATTTAAAATGTATTATTTGGAAGAACCATTACAAGAACAGTGAAATAGTGATGTTTATTATTTTAAAGTGAGATTTATGATGAAAGGCTGCTGCTTTTGGTGCTGTTTATATTCATGCTGTATTTCAGAAGGTACTCTATTATAACATTAATTATGGTATTATTAATTGTGTTACATTTTGCCTCCACAACATGTTAATGTTCTGTGCTAAGTCTTAATACTAATAGTTTATCTTTCTATCAGTGAAAAACACAGTGATGAAAGTTATGTTTATACATATCATACTTGAGCTATGTCAGTGTTAACGGCACAAAGATAACCACATTTATGTACAAAAATAATGTATTCTGGTGTTCAACTGCAAAACAAAATTAAACTCCAGCAAAAAAAAAAAAAAAGTAAGCATTAAAATATCATTTTATTTTTATACATGCATAGAAACCCAAACTGTCTGGAATCCAAAGTGCCTTTTTCAACATGAAATTTTAAGCATAAATCAATGCCATTCTCCCCTTCTTTCAGTCAAACTGGGGTAAGTCCCTGGGGTTACCTGGAGGTGACTGAGGCGTCTTATTGTAACGCAGGGACTTTCTGACTCTAAATGCAGTGAGCAGAGATCTGTCCTGCCTCTGTCTACCACAGACCTATTCCTTTTCACACGCTGCAAAATTTCTGTTCAACTTGAAATATGATATGGTTCATGTTTTACTCAAAAGCAGCTCAGGGAAAAAAATCCATTGAAAACCAGAGAGAAGGATTCAATACAAAGGACTACAGAGAGACACAGAAGAGCACAGTGAGGTAAAAGGAAAAATTCTATGAAAAAAGGAAATATGCTTGGTACAGTCAGAAAACCCTGGATGTAATTTTGTCAGTTTGTGTCAGCAAGCTTTGATTTCCTGCATTGTGCAAATGACCCTATTAAAGCAATGTCAAAGTAAAGCAAGGAAATGAGCTGCATCCCTAACTTCATCTCCTTATACAGCAATAACTGCACAACCACATATGCACATCTTAGGAAACTGTATTAACTGAGCAGGGAACTCCTTCAAGTGCCTTTTCCTGAAGTAGGTTTATCTGTTTATTGTTATATAAGGAGAAAACGAAAAGGCATTTGAACATTTTGAGGATTTCACCATTTATAGTTCTCAGCATTTGGAACATCATTTCTGGTATGTCTTCTCTCTGCCTTCCTGCTTATGTCGTTACACATTGGTGAACAAATATAAATTTCCACCATTTTTATTTAGTATAAATACTTAGTATTTATACCCACCTTGTACAAGCCAAAACTCAACAAAGCACACAGCAATGGCAAATAAGCCATTTATACTTGTTGTAAAAATGTCCTTTTATGTAACATCAGCTTATTACTTGATTTTATAATATAAATGCATTTCCTGCCACAATTGTAAAACCATAATGTACTCTCTTTTCCTATAAAATGTAGCTCAGATTATTGTACTTTCAAGAAAATATGTGGTTACACTTATTGCTTCTTACTTTTCAATGAATCACTGACTACAGTGAATGCCTGTTTATTCTCAATTAGAGAACCCGACACTGACCTAAGGAGTGAAATCCAATAATCTTGGAAATCTGCCTTGCCTAAATCACAGGCACTTATTCAATTTTTCCGTTTTGCACTATTCTTCCCTTTTGAAGCTTGCTTAAACTCCTCCCTACAAGTACTCTATGAAAATGGAGCTCAATTAGTTCTTACCAGGAAAAAATGTGTATTATGAAGAATAAAATGAGCCAAGTTCAAACAAGTGTGAAACTGAAAGCTAATAGTAATTAAAATGTAATGTCATAATTGCTGCTGTACTCTTGGACTTGGGTCTACATATTCTATGCCTTAAAAATAATGATCATGGATAGGAAGGTGGCAAAGTTAAGCTTTCCAAAGTTCTTAAATCTGTTGTGCCTACACACAAAAAGGGACGTTAAATTGCACCAGCATCTTTGATCAGCGTGCTGTGTCTGCCACCTTAGCAATTCCCTTTAA